TAGCTGAATTCTAAAACTTAACGTCATAAATAAGTTCATAAATCTGTGGAACTAAGAAATTATTTTTGCAGAATTTTATACAGTTCTAAGTTTTCCATATTTTTCATTTTGCTAGTTTTATAGTCCCAGGCACATAAAACTCTGTTAGTATAGTTCTACTATTAAATGGGAAATTCTCCTAGGATACTCACACCACTACTTACTACAGTGAAAATGTAAAAAATCCTGACAACCTACATTACTTTTTTAGTTACTTATACTTGCACCTTTTACTATGCATTATGGCATAAATAACCATGATAAAGAAACATTTTTATTAAGATGAGCTACACTAAAAACAATGACTTCATTTCACTGTTAAGTTTTTTTCTCTATTTCATAAATCTGATACAGACTTTTATAACAGTCATTTTTTTTATTTGTTCTTAAATGGAGTTAAAAGTCTATTTTAGTATGAACTAGAAACACTATACTCTTGTCATGTTTGATTAGAAGGTCAAGAATCTGATAGATGATCTTCACAACTACAACATTAAACCATAATGAATAAGAGCAAGATACAGTTTATAAAATTTTATTTCGCACAATGCCAAAAGACCTTTTCACCAAGAGTTCAAGGATTATTTCACAGTTTTATAGCTATCAAATATAGTTTTAGTATATAACATGACACAAATTGCTAAAAAGTTAATACACTGTCCTTTCTAAAAATTACATAGTGATTCACCCTGACATGTAGGCTTGATTAATTCTTTGTCTCAGAATTGACCAAGAAAAGTATTAGGGTGATTTCTTCTCAACAGTCTCCTAAATGGGAAGATTTAAGATACTCATGTCAAATAGTGGTCAACACCCAGGATGTTATTAATATAAGCCAACTTAGAAAATCAATGTAGATAAATCAAACCCAAGAAGTATACTGGGACGATGTTGGTAAAAATATGTAATCTGTCAATTACAAATAGCTTCTGTGTTTTTAAAGAGTTGTTGAAATAATCTCTATACACAAGAGTAGCTCCAGAGGATGCTGGAAAGCGTAAACTATACGTAGTACTTTCAAACTTCACTTCTGCATAGGTAAGCCAATTGCCTTCATAAGAAAGGAGAAACTTTCTAAACACAAAAATAAAAATAACTACTTGGAACGTATTTGCCTGGCTCCAGCTCCTTGTGCCTACAGTGTGCCCACAAGTCAACCCCAAAAAGATCTCACCTTTATCAGTACTCTTACAACCAGGATTCCTCCAGAACAATGACTTAATGGTTTACTCTACTATCTTGTGTTTTCTAATTTCTGAGGCCCCATTTTTTTTTTTCTTAATTCTTAGCTCACATTTTCTATCTAGGCCCTCAGATTAGTACACTATTCTTGGCCTTACTATCTTAGTTGTAAACTTCTACTCCTCCGGGATACTACTCAAGTGCCTGTCTACAATGCTTTGGCTCCTGGCACTTAGAGTCAAGGGTAAAAGATTTCCTGCCTGCAAGTTCTGCCCTAGACTCTAGGATATGCCTGACAGCAGAGGAAAACCAGGCAAGGGGCAAATGATATAATTTCAATAAGAGGAAATTTTGCCTGAAAGTGTATGGGAATTTTAACAGGCTATATAAATTGGATAAAGAGAAGTGTTTGAGGTCATCTACTTAGATTTCCAGTCTTGAGCAAGATTCTTTACCAGAACATACTCAAAGTTGTAACTAATCAAGCATAATGGTGGGGAAAGAAGTAAAGACCCTGTGCTATAATGATTTTTGTAATAAGAGAGAACTAGATTACAGATTGA